CTAGCTCATTTGAATTTCTTTTTTGACAGGCAGAGTTAGACAGTGAGAGAGAGAGACAGAAAGAAAGGTCTTCCTTCTGTTGGTTCATCCCCCAAATGGCCACTAAGGCCTGCACACTGCACTGATTGATAGGAAGCCAGGAGCCAGGTGCCTCCTCCTGGTCTCCCATGCGGGTGCAGGGCCCACTGCCTTCCTAGGCCACAGCATAGAGCTGGACTGGAAAGAGGAGCAACTGGGACAGAATCCGGAGCCCCAAACAGGACTAGAACCCGGGATGCCGGCGCCACAGGCAGAGGATTAACCTAGTGAGCCACGGCCTAGCTCATTTGAATTTTACACTTGGATTTCTCACTCTATGCTTTGATCTATGATTCTAGCTTGCTGAAGTATCATACTGTTTTAATAGTTTTCATTTTATAGTGTATTTCACTTTCAGAGAGGGCAAGTTTTACTACTATTCTTCAGAAGATCCTTGGATACTTATTCATTATCAGTCTCTCACTTGAAATTCGGGGATAATCATCACATTACTGAAAAACTGGCATTTGACTGGAAATCATTCAAATTTTAAATTGAGAATTCATTTGTCTCTCCACAAAATTGATACAGTGAATTGTTGTGTAACTCCTTTCATTCTGTATCCCTTTAAGAGTTTTTACAGCTTTATTTTAAAAGTCTAGAGTAGACAGTGAAAGCATGTTTCTGGAACTATTTTGAGGTGAATACTTAAAAGTCCTCATATGGCAACCACTTTCCACTGATATTTTCTTTTTCTTTTTTAAAATTTATTTGACAGAGTTATAGACAGTGAGAGAGAGAGACAGAGGGAAAGGTCTTCTTACATTGGTTCACTCCCCAGTGTCCCCTACGGTTGGCACTGCGCCAGTCCAAAGCCAGGAGCAGGTGCCTCCTCCTGGTCTCCCATGCAGGTGCAGGGACCCAAGCACTTGGTCCATCTTCCACTGCCCTCCTGGGCCATAGCAGAGGGCTGGACTGGAAGAGGAGCAACTGGGACTAGAACCCAGTGTCCATATGGGATTCTGGAACCACAGGTGGAGGATTAACCAAGTGAGCCATGGTGCTGGCCCCCTCCACTGATATTTTCATACGGGTAGGCTAGATTCCTAAAAGAACTCATATATCCCACGTCTAAGCCTGTATATTGATATCCTTTTTTGTAGGATGTTCTGGAATTAACTGTTAAAATTCAGAGTCCTTAGGGCATAAACATGGCATCTAGCACATTATCCTACTTTCCAGGATCAGTAGTACTGCACAGAGTTTACCTCTCCAACCAATTCATTCGGAGCTTTTGCTTTGAGGATCATCACCGATGATATCTCATTTGGTCTCCAGCCAACCACAAACACAACATCTGCTCTGTAGCTGTGCTTTCATATCCCTTTGGGGGTTATTACTGAATAATGTTTTAATACAAGTTCTTTCCATCTTGTTAATATTGATTTAGCAAAGGAAATGGGCATTTTGCCTGACTAAGGCACAATGAGTGAAGAATCACAAAGTGGAATGAGTTCTAAAGGAAAGGAAAGTTCAAAGTAAAGTGGAATGATTAGGAAAATTGAAGAAGTACAAAAGTTAGAGAGGAAAAAATAGGAAATAATCTCATTAAGCATTGAATGAGGTTGAATCAACACATGAAAGCTGTTAAGGCATAGAGGATTGGGGTAATTTGCTAGAGAAGAGAGATTTCTAAAATCCTATTTTGTCATGAATTTATCACTGCATTTCCATTAGACAAAGCTGCATTGTATTTTCTGGTTATTGGACTTAAGTTCCTATTAAAGACAGGTACACTTATGCCAGTGACACATGTTAATTACAAGGGATTATAAAAAAAGGATGGCCGCACACAATTTTAATGGGCGTGGGCACTTTTCTGAGGAATTGCCTTCTCAAGTGAAAGATGCTTGCTGTCTTGGAGAGGTATCTAGAACTAAGTTTGCCCAGTAGAAATAATATTTTATTTTACAATGGAGAGTTTTCTGAAAATGTGTGACACTATTAACATACTAATTAAAGATACTAATTAAAAATGAGTACTTATATTTTTTGATGCAGCTACCCAATCAACCTAATCAACCGTTTGTCATTGTGAATGTCTTATGACTTTATTTATAACTGTTCTTCTTAAAATTAAAGGCTGTTTTACCAGATCAGTCCTAACACACAAAGCTAAACTGATAAGCTCAGTGCAATTTTAGTTCTATTTTGTTTTCTGTGGTCAAAGTATCAGAAATTTCATAGCTCTAATTTTGAGTTTTTGCCTTTTCTCTTTCCTATGATACTATCAAAGAAGATAGATGGATAATATACAATATTGACTGGGAAATAAAAATGCAAATTTATTGTTCTTGGCTGAGAGTATCACTAAAACTCAAGTACAAATTTCTCTGTAAGCTCTGTTGAACCACATGTCCTAATTATGAAACCTAAGGCACTTGTCTCTATTCCTAAGCCAACTCCAAGTCTAAAGGTCTTGCAATTTTCCTGTAAGTTATATATGGTTGGAGAGTAGAGAGAAAATTAACCAAGGGTGTTTGTGTGTGCATGTATGTGTGTGTGTGAGAGAGAGAGACGGAGAGAGAGAGAGAGAGAGAAAGAGAGAGAGAGAGAGTGTGGTGTGGAGAAGGGGTGTTTGTGAAAAGAAGAACAGTGAGACTAAGATGTTCAGTTTTAATCTATGTGGGTGGAGTAGGCCCAAAGTCAATTTAGTTCTTCAGTCACATCACAAAAAAATAAGAGGAAGTTTAAAATGTCTGGAGAGTCACTCCAATAATTCATGACCTAACACAAAATGATCCTGCATACTTGTTAGTCTGTATTCCCATATCTGACTTCAGATAATAGTATCTACAAGTCTTGGAAAGCAATAAGATTTGAAAGCCATTTACCTAATGCTAAGAGTGTATCTTAGCTGGCGCTGCGGCTCAATAGGCTAATCCTCCACCTAGCGGCGCCGGCACACCAGGTTCTAGTCCTGGTCGGGGAGCCGGATTCTTTCCCGTTTGCCCCTCTTCCAGGCCAGCTCTCTGCTGTGGCCAGGGAAGGCAGTGGAGGATGGCCCAAGTCCTTGGGCCCTGCACCCCATGGGAGACCAGGAGAAGCACCTGGCTCCTGCCTTTGGATCAGCGTGGTGCACCGGCCGCAGCGCGCCAGCCGTGGCGGCCATTGGAGGGTGAACCAATGGCAAAAGGAAGACCTCTCTCTCTCTCTCTCTCTCTCACTATCCACTCTGCCTGTCAAAAAAAAAAAGTGTATCTTTTCTACAAATATTACATGGTTTAATCTTCAGTTGCTAAAGATGCAAACTTATGCACATTACCCTATATTAACTAAAATGCCATAGTCTTTGCAAAGAGTCATGTGAGAGCACTGGAGAATTAACTGTGGAACTAACTAACTTGTGTGGCCACAGTATCAGTATTTCACATTTTATTTATTAGTAGATAAGTAGTTTAAATTCCCTGAATGTTAATTTTTCTCATCTGCAAAATGTGTGGATCATAATCTAAACTTCCCAGTGCTGCAACAAAGTATAAATGAAGTCAATATGTGTAAACACTAGCATACAATGCAGGTGTGAACAATGAACACATTGAATGGATTCAGATTATTATTTCATTTTATTTTCATGGGTCAACTTGATAGGTTGGAGGACCTAGGGTGATGAAGAAGAATAGGGTCAAGAAGAATGGAACTTGGTGGCCACAGAAATCAATTTTTCTTTTTTTTAAAGCTTTTTTTTAATTGTTTATTTATTTATTTATTTTTTCACAGGCAGAGTTAGACAGCAAGACAGAGAGAAAGGTCTTCCTTCCGCTGGTTCACTCCCCAAATGGCCGCTAAGGCCCGCACACTGCGCTGATCGGATCTGAAGCCAGGAGCCAAGTGCCTCCTCCTGGTCTCCCATGTGGGTGCAGGGCCCAAGCACTTGGGCCATTCTCCACTGCCTTCCTGGGCCACAGCAGAGAGCTGGACTGGAGGAGGAGCAACCGGGACAGAACCGGCGCCCTGAGCAGATTAGGACCCGGGGTGCCAGCGCCACAGGTGGAGGATTAGCCTAGTGAGCCACGGCGCCGGCCAGAAATCAATTTTTCTTTAGTCATTGTCATATGCAGGGCCTATACTCAGAAAGTCTCATTCTTCAAAGACATGGAAGGGATAGTATTCACTTATACTCTTGGACAACAAGTACAGCATCTTTTAAGACACAGGATTTCTGAATGAAACATGGTACATTATTACCTGTTACTTCCACCCCTGGAATGCATATATAAGTGATATTATGCTTGGTAGAGGTAGGGAAATGTCTTTGAAACAAAAAAATCTATCAGGAGACCTTTGATTGAAAGTGCACCTCAAAATGAACTATAATATATAAAGCAACATCTCTATTGTAGAGTTCCTTGTTTGCTCTCATTCCTACTGATGAAAGAGATCATTAAAATAGGTAACTCAAGTTCTGGCCACCAATGCATGTGCAGACCCTAGACTCGCATGAACAGAAACAAAGACTGGTTACTCTTAACATTTGGTGAAGGTTTGATGAAATGAACTTGGCTTGACTTTGTTGGCAACTTGGTCTGTTTTAGGTCTTTTTTTAAAACATATGTTGCTTTGAACATCTTCAATGCATGCCAATCAAATTTAGATTCCTGTCAGTGCATAGAAAGTGAAAGAAACAGGGACAGAAATTTGACCTAATGGTTAAGACATCAGGTTACCAAAAGGGGATATCTGAGTGCCTGGATTAAAGCACCAGCTCTGTTCACACTTCCAGACCTGTGTTGAGCTTCCAGTTGCCAGATTCAACCTGACTCAGCCCACCCCTTGTGAGCATTTGGAGAATGAACCAGCAGGTCTATCTATCTCTCTGTCTCTGAAACATACCAATGAAAGCATTAAAAATAAAAAAAAAATCTTTCTTTAATACAGTATAAATACAGAAATGTATAACGTTTCTGCGATTTTCTTGCTTGACTATTAATTGGAAGTATCTTATGTACCAAACAATGTAATAAGTACTTTATAAACATTATCTCATTTAAAAATTGTGGTCTGACTATATTGAAAGATGGAGATTTGGGGGAAAAACAAACATAGCAGTCTAGAAATGGGAACTTGCTGGGTTCCTGTAAGTCAGAGTTACAGTTGCACCATATTTCTCAGGGTTAGTTTCTAATCTGGCTGAGATTAGGTGATAGTATTTTCCAGAGTCTAGAATTCTTAACACATGTATGCTTTCCTATAATTTTGCCATCCATTATTTTTCATGCAACAGAAAAACAAAACAAAACACAAAAACTAAAAACCTCAACAAGCAGCAATTCATGTGATTATGGCAAGAAATTATGTTTTTCTGCATTTTATACATGTAGATGAATAAAAAACAATCTCTGTTCCTGAACACAATGTTTGATGCTTGATCATTTTTGTTCTGGGAATTTTCCCCTACAAACCTAGTGTTTCATTGTTTGGAAAAGCACAGCCCTGATTAACATGGCAGGGAAATTGTTCTTCCTACAACCCTATGAAGAGCAGATTTGAATTCTTTGTTTCTCAGGCTATAAATCATTGGGTTGAACAACGGAGTTAAGATGGTGTAGGATACTGATATTAGAGCATCCTGGTTCACGGAGTAGTTGGACTTAGGCCTTAAGTAGATAAAGGAAGCACAACCATAATGGACAGTGACGACAATGAGGTGAGAAGCACAGGTGGAGAAAGCTTTGCACCTGCCCAATGTGGAAGGGAATTGGAGAATGGCAGAGATAATGTGAATGTAGGATACCAAGATCAACAACAGAGGAATAATCAGGACCAATGCACAGAGCATGAAGATAACTATCTGACTAAAATGATTATGGTTAGATGCCAGCTTGAGGACAGGGGAGATGTCACAGAAGAAGTGGTGGAGCTGGTTGGAGGAGTAGAAGGGCAAGTGAAATATCAAGGTGGTGATGATCTGTGCAACAGTGAAGCCACAGGCACAGGCAGCAGCCACTAGGCCCACACACACCCCGGGCCCCATGAGCATTGTGTAGCGCAGTGGATTGCAAATGGCCACATAGCGATCATAACCCATGGCCGCCAGCAGGAAGGAGTGAGAGCAGCCGAGAAAGAGGAAGGTAAACATCTGGATGGCACAGCCCAGGAAGGAGATGGTCTTCTTCTGGGCCAGCAGGTCGACCAGCATCTTGGGTACAATGACGAAGGTGTAGCAAGTCTCAGAGCAGGAGAGGACAGCAAGGAAGAAGTACATGGGGGTGTGGAGGGCTCTGTCCAGCACGATGGTGGAAATGATGATGGCGTTGGTGCCCAGAGTGAACAGGTAGACGACCAGGAAGACAAGAAAGAGCAGCTGCTGCAGCCCAGCCAGAGAGGAGAAGCCGAGGAAGACAAACTCTCTCACCACAGTCTTATTGACCCATTCCATGGAGAGCACATCAACAGAAGACATCTGGGAGAGAAGAGGAGACAGTGCCAGAGAAATATGAAAATCAGTACAATAATAGGAAATCGATCATCATGGAGCACAAGACCTCAAATTTTAAATTAAAAATTGATCATTCATCTCTCTTGTTTTTTCAAAGCATATGAAGTATCAAAGGTCAAGCACATGTACTTCAGACTTTGCATCTCCAAATGATTCTAATACTTAAGCTAAAAAGTTTTTATATTTCTCAGATCAAGTTTCCTTTCATCTATATTCCCATGGCATGTCTTTTTTTTCACATTATTCACCTGTAACTCCTAGATTCCTTTGTAACAGTTATCCATTTGGGTCTCTTCCATCCACATTCACTCAAAGAAATACTTCCTGAAAGTTGCAAAATAAATCATTTGTATATAATTCACGTACTCTTGTATGTAATTCACATACTCTTCCACAGCTTTCTGTTATCATTTTCTTGATTCTTAAAATCCTATATTTAGTTTTAGTCCTACCCTAACCTTGACCCACATTCTCTGGTCCTATCTGCATACTTCCTGGCAGGAATCTAATTGTTCTACCTGCTGAGTCTTAGTTTGATATCTTAACTTTTTTTTAATTATTTATTTGAAAAGTAGAGTGACAGAGACATATGGAGAGAGAGAAATAAAGAGATCTTTCATCCTCTGGTTCACTTTCCAAAAGGTCACAATGGCTGATGCTGGGTCTGGTCAAATCCAGGAGTCAGGAATGCCATCAATATCTCCCACATGGTGACAAGGGCCAAAGGAGTTGGGCCATCTTCTACTTCTTCTCCAGGGGGGGTGAGCAGGGAGCTAGATCAATGCGGAGCAGCTGGGCCTGAAACTAGTGCTCTGAAATGGGGTGTTCCAAAAGGCTCTAAAAGGTTCTGTCGTTTTTTCCAAGTCTCTATTCCAAGATGCAATAGTCTGTACATCCCCAGTGCTTTCCTGAGATGCATTCCCCCTGCAAGGAGTCTTCTATCAGGATTCTCCTCAATTTTCATTACTTTCCTTAACTCTCTTTGCCTCTATTCCTTACTCATGTGCTAGTTACAGATATTGTATTTACAGACATTTTATGGTTAATCTGAAACCTTAGTCAAATTCACACTTTTTGGAAGCTTCCTTGATACATACTCATAAAAGGATTTGTTTCTTCCTCAGAACTCATGTAGGACATTGATTACTCATTTGATATGACATTTACCTAATTTGGAAATATTGTTTCAAATTTTTCTTTTGTTTGTCTTCATTAGGTTTAGTGTCCTTGAAATAAATATGTGAGTTATACAAGTTTATTGACAAGTTTATAGGAAATGGAATTAAATAGTTATTTTGCTGCAAACATTTTTAAATCCATGTATAATTCTTTCATAATACAGATTTTTCCATGAACTTTTTGAAGGCCATCAGTTTTTCAGGGTTTCAAAAAGTTTTTCATGAATTTCTTGATGTACCATTATACGTAACTTCACCTGAATTCTCCTTGTACCTAGAATCATATTGTAGCTAATAAATTTTCAGTCAATAATTGAAGTAAAGAGATTATTTGTTTTGTTGGTTTCAATCTCATTCAGTGCATCGCAGGCTTCTTAGGAGTCAAAGTGTGAAAGAGTCTGGCGTATTAGCTTATCATGGGCACAAGTACAAAGAATATATAAGAGTTTCTTTACCACATAAGGTAGATGTTACCCATTCAAATGTAAACCTCAGTTTACAATAGAAAATGTCTCAGAGGAGAGAATATGTCCATTGGAGTTCTATGTACTTGAGATTACTGCCATTTCTTAATGCATTAACTCTTAGCGTATATTGGAATGCAAATGAATATGAGGGAAATAATAAAGATGACTTTAAATTTATCTCATTTAAAAATTTTGTCACTAAATGAATGTTAATAGCAAAAAATTTGACAATGTGTCATATTCCTGCAGAGAACTGCTGAGTCAAGAATAACAGATGGTGCACACTAACTGTTAAGCAGTATGATTATAATCACGTGCAAGGTACTAGGTATGTGATAAAGGTGGACATACAAGTAGGTTTCATTGCAAAGTCTAAGGCTGCTCCTGATTCAAAGGTGAGGGGTGTAGAGAAACAGAGATTATGGTTAAAAACTAGTGGTTGGAATGATAAATGTGAATTTCAAATTATGGAGTGTTCAAGAGAGACATCTTCTATATATCCTTAGAAAACAATTTTTATTGAATTTATTTCTAATTTTTTATGTCTATTATGGAAAGATGAACTATAGAATGCTTAGAAAAATATGACACTGGGCACTAGTTAGTTTCTATGACATGTAATTCAAATGTGCGAACAGTTCAGATAAGCCCAGTTGCTTCTGGAAGAGCATGACCTGGTTCATGGTGTTTTTTTCTGGTATAGTTACGCTTAACACTACACCCCTCATCCCTGTGGAGAGGGCCTATATCCTTTCTTTTCCTATCTTTTTCTACATGCTGTTTGTTTGAAGCCTAATGTAAGGTTTTCTGTTGCCTGATTAGTTGGTAGATTTATTGCTTCTATCTTTCTAACTCTATATTCCCTAATTCTCAGCAGTACAAATGAATTCTACATATCCTTGGAGGCACAAGTAATGTTTTGTAATATTAGAATAAAATGGGTTTTGAGCTTACAGAAATAGGCTTTAATCCTTACTCAGATGTATTCTAGTGGTAAGATATTAAATTATCTAAGGGTCTTTTTTCAGTAGCTAGAGACTGCTTAATACATTACTTTATTTCATTACTTTATTCTTGTACTCTCTGTACTTTACCAGGAAGGAAAACATAAGAGCTGTCATCATTTCTTTCAGTCTCTCAAGCCTAACTAAAGGTGATGTGGTTTTCCAAGGAGTTTTGCTCTGAGCAGGGAAGAAGGCAAATTTATAGACCTTGAAGTGTCATGGAAATCGGCTGGCGCCTGATTGTTCTCCACAGTCATACGTGCAGATTATCTACCCCTTGTAGAAGCAAAGGAGATTTCTCTGAACTTTCTGTTTTGGGGGTGGGGTGCAAGAGATAACCCTTGAAGTTCAAATTGTAAATTATCTTAGTCACACACTTATATTAATTTAGAGAGGTTCTCATTATGGATGCTTTATAATTACTAAGGAAGTAAATTGTGTAAGATGTTATATTTATATATTTAGGTATCATCCTAATCACCAATTGAACTACAAAAGATTGAAGTAGGTCATCTATTGATTCTCATATTTTTATGATTTCACGATTTCTGTTATGTTCTAAATTCTACAGGTATAAATAAAAAAGAATTATTGTTTCCTTCTCGAAGAAAAGAGAATCAAACAGATATCTCAGAAACTATCATAAACATCATAAAAGAAATTTCAAAACAAGCAAAAGTTCTTGAAAATTTTTAGGAAAAGCCAAAAAATTTTAGAGAAGACTTTGAAGGACAAGTAGCATTTTAATATCACCTAAAAGCATTTGGATGATAAGTACAGGCTAGATATGAATGGAATTACTTGTGTAGAAAATTGGATTAGATTGATTATTCATTTACTTAATGCTTATTGAACCTTTATTATTGCAAAAATAACCTTCTGTTTTGCTGTAATGCTTTTTCCAAAGGAAAATCAAATTTACAAAGTCCTTCAGGTTTCTTAGCAAAAAATTCACATTATGACCACAGACTCACAGCTAAGGATGATATATCGATTCCCAGAAAATGCCAAGAGAGTGCCTATTAAGGGTTTACACCACAGAAATGGTAACTATGTGAGGTAATGCATATGGTAAATAGCTAGACTTAATTATTCCACAGTGTTTACATACTTTAAAACATATTGTAGATGACAAATATATATAATTTTATGTCAATTTTAAAATAAGAAAATATATAGGAAACAAATTCAAGAAAAAAGCAAAAGATAAACTTAATTTTTGGATAGCTACATTCCAGCCTACTGGTATACTAATATTACTTTTGATATTTCCAGAAAGAAAAAAAGCAAGAGACAAATGTGATACCAGTTTATCAACTAAAATTCAGATCTATCTTCTAGAAACATAATGCAGGTTAGTATTTACTAGATACTCTCTATATTATACATAGGGTGAAAATATTACTGTATATATTCTTTCAATTGATGCTTACAGTGACCTTATTAGTTATTACTGTTAATGTCTCCATTAATAAAGATGAGAAATTTGAAAAACAAAAAGGTTGGATATTCTTAAGTCTGCAAAGCTAGTGGAACCAACATAGAATGGGGAAAAATCTGTGTATGTGAGTGTGTGTGTGTATGTGTTTTGAAAGAGAAATCAGTTTTCTGTCACACTCCTTCTATATGAAGGCATTTAAAGAAAAAAGACCACTGATAAAATCTTGTTACAGGCTCAAATCCCAACCCCAACATATGTAGGTAATTTTTATATGTCTGAATCCATTTATTCGTCCTTATAATGAGCTTCACTCTTAAATTAGCCAAATTGACAGATATCAGCAAATCAAATCAATGAGATGATGATTTTTCAAAGGTTAAGAGTCACATAGATATTAATCTGCTGGTTATATCTTAGAACTGAATAGGACCAGAGTGTGTTGACAGTTTGGGGAGTATAATTTTCATATGGATTCCTGCATCTCCACAGCTTTCAGGAAGGATTTAAGAGAGTAAAGATGGTTTTGCTTCACAAGACTGGGAAAGGAATGCAAAAGTAGTCCTGATTACTTACCCAGGAGAATCTTCGGAATGCCATAGTCATTGATTTTATAACTATAGGTCTGCTAAACAGCTCTCCCAGAAGTCTCATTGGGCAGATGAAGAAATTAAGTTTCAGAGAGTGTTCTGGGAATCCCAAGGCCAGAAAAAGAGTGGCGATGCGATGGAAACAGAACAGAAGTCTTCTGCTTCTCTGATGAAAGTGTCTCCCAGTGTTAGACTGCCTCCTGAAGATGTGAGTTATGCAGGTAATAACTTTCTCTTTTTTAGGTAGCAGTGATTCATGTCTGCTTTACGTTCCTGTG